TATCACATCATATCTGTCACATTAATAAAAGAGTATAATTATCTACCAAAACACTACCAAAATCAAAAATAGGATCACATGGAAAGAAGCTCTCCACTAATAGGACTTAATAGATTAATAAAAAAAACATGGGACTAATTAGAGTACTTGTTTGTGAGATGAGATTTATTGATAAATATCCCAAGATAAAAATGGGAGAAAATAAAAGAATAAAAAAAGAAGAAAAAAAAAAGAAGGGAGGAATGTGGGATCGTGGGATCATGGAATGATAGGTGAGAAAAGGAAAAAATAAGAGAGAGAAACGGGAAAGTAGAAAATACACATGTAGGATATTTTTTGAAAAATATATCTTAACCATTGTTTTATAATTTGAATAGATCTGAGCCATCCAAATGTTCTAATAAGAAAAAAAAAATATGTTGAAGATTTAAAAACCGTCCTACTTTATTATATAGATTAGTTATCTTATTCATTGAAATGATTTTGTTAATAAGTTAGAAAAGCTTGATTAGTAATTTTATATAATTAGGATATTTGGCTTAATGATTGTGTATCATCATTTGTGGTGATATTTATGGGGGTGGTATGTGATTAGTAGGTATTGGGCTTGGGTTTGGGTTTAGACTTTGACTTTTTCGACTTGAGTTTGGTGGAGCATCTCCAACGGTAATAGGTATTTTACCTATCTAAATATTACTATAAAGTATATATTTTATTTTGCCTATCAACTATTTCATGTTTCTACTCCAACCATGCTCTTTATTTTAGCTATTCATCTAAATACTATTAATTTTATAAAATGCCACATCAGCAACAAAGATGGAGGGAAATGATCCTAATGATTAAATATATTTTGCCTAGTCTTGAAGGCTAGCTACATGTAGCTAGTGAATGTGAGTTGAGCTAAAATGCCTAATCATATGCCTAGTGCATTGGAGTTGAAAAAAATGAGTTATACTAGGCATTTTAACTAACAAGCATGATATGCCTAGTGGGTTGGAGATGCTCGACTTTGTTGACTTTGAGAAATTTTATTTGTAAGTCGAATTTTTTAGTATACTTTATTAAATTATTTAAAATTATAATTACTCTCAATACAACTTTTGTTTTCTTTCTCCAAATTATCGTAAATCCAAATAATAATCAAATCAAAAATTTCAAATTTTGAAAAATCCTTTCCTTTTGTTCACATAATGACGATGGCATTGCAAAGGAGAATGGCGTCGGCAAACCCCAACCCTTGTCGCTGGCCGCCGTCGCGTTCAAGCTTGAACTTCGCATTCACATCCACCGACCACCGACCACCGACTAAAGTGTTGAGGGGGTGCTGCTGCTGCTACAAAGTGTTGTTGTTGTTGGCTCTGGGGTTGTGTTGGTATCACTGGAATTATCTTTATCAACCTCCTTGGATATTGGTCATGGTGGCGGCGACTAGTATGTGTCTTTGATAGTGAATGCTGTGGCGTCCATTCGACAATGGGTTAAGACTTCAAACTTTTCTGCAAGCTTGAAATTCAACCAACGAAAACAAATTGAAAAGTCCACTTTAAATTAAAAAATCAGGGGTGCTGATTTGGGAAATTGATTTGTACATGTTTTTTAGCAGTCAAAATTTTATTCAAACGTTTTTCTATTTATAAATAATAACACAATAAGAAATAATTATGTTAATAACAATGGTAAGTTTTGGTAGAGTAGATTAGAATTTTGGAGTAAGGAAGAAGATAAAGAGAAAAATAATTGAAATTTGAAAAAGAAAATAAAGAGACTTGAATATGAAAAAAAAGTATATCATATTTGTAATTACTCTTTTATCTATTGACTAAAACAAAAGATTAGTATTTTTACACCTAAAGATGCTTGAAAAATAATGCTTAAGCAATAGTTTATTAGAGTTTGTCAGTTTTTTATTTGGTAATACAACTGAGTTTATTTGTCTTTCTTTTTATTATAAAAGAATAGGCTTCTCTTCAATTCATTTTGTGGATTAAATCGTACTGTTAGGTCTGTGAGACTTACCACGAGTCATATTTCAATAATTCAAATTGTTCAATGTGTAGAGTTCGTCGAGTATTTTATTCTTGCAAAATATTAATATTTATCGGATATGAATAGCCTCTTAATCAGAGCACATTCTTGTTAACAATTTATTTCTAAAATCATATTTACTATTGACAAAAATGTGTTCTAATCAAAGAGCTATCAATATCCGATCAATGTGATTTTTTGCAGAGATGACGTACTCAACGAGTTCTAAACATTAATAGTTCAGATTATCAAAATAGATCCTGTGGTGAGTTTCATGAGCCCAATAGTACAGTCCAGGCCACAAAGGAGACTGGAGAGAAGCCCATCTCATTATAAAATATGTTATATATACTTAAATAAATTTTAGAGCAATGTCATACCACCGAATTTGGGCTCTTCCAAATTGACCGAATTTGTGTATATCGGGGGACACACTAGCCATCCGAAAGGTCGTCTGATCTATCATCTAGGTAGATGTCAATTGTCATAGTTAACAAGGGTAACAACGCTCATCCAGCCAATTGTCCGAGAGGTCGTCCAATTGATCATTCGACTTATGTAATTCGAACAATTCGGACGAGCCCAAATTCAGTGGATAAATCATTTTCCTAAATTTTAATCTATATAACAAAAGAAGATAGCTTTCGAAAAAAGGTCTTACATGTCACTGTAAATGGTCAGGATTAACTCAATTTATGTATAAGTAACATTTTTGTGAGTACTGTCAAATACAAATATATAAAATCACAAAACTCACAAAAATGATGTGACAATGAGTGTTTTTGGTTTGAGTTTTTTTAATTAAGTTTTTTGATTTTCATGTTTTTTTTTTTAGTGAATATTTTTAAAATTTTAAACATTTTTTTTTTACTTTTTAGATGCACCTTACTTAGATGTATCTAAAAAGTAAAAAATTTGTGAAAAAATATTTTAAAAAATTAATAAATACATAAAAATACAAAAAATTACTGAATTCTCGTATTTTTTCTTGTATTTTGGGTATTTAGTGAATTTTTAAAAGGTTTTCTTCACAAATTTTTTACTTTTTAGATACATCTAAGTTAGGTATGTCTAAAAATTTTAAAAATTGCTTAAAATATAAAAAAAAAATCAGTAAAAACAAAAAAAAAACACGAAAAATAAGAAAGTAGAATTTTCTGAAAAGGGAAACCATGTCATTATTATAAATAAATTCATATTCAATAATATTTTATTTTGAATCAAAAGATTCACAATGAATCACATCATTATATATGAATTTTTTTTTTTTAATATCATTACACATATATAATCTTTTGAGTACAAATATTCTTTTAGTCCATGACCACTCTCTTTTCTTTTAATTATTTTGATTTAGTGGTGAAATCAAAGTTGAATCAATCATGTTATGCGCAAAGATCTAAATCAGCATCATGTTTATGTCCGTTCGATTCATATCAAAGTTAGTGGGTTACTGCGATAAGATCTCATTTAGAATCATGTTTTTCTTCGTATGATTCGTGAGAGGAGCATTGTTGGTTTGAAATTCTTACATGGGGATATAGTGATACTTCGAGTATGTTGAATAATATTTTTTATCTTTATCTTCTTCTTCTTCTTTTTTTTTTTTTTAATAATATATATTAGGGATACAATTTGAACGGACTTTGTTTAAAAAAAGTTAAGCAGACTCAACCCAAGTAACTCGGACCTAACTCAATTTTTGTTAGGACATGGGAAAATTATTTTTGAATTTAGTGCAGGCATAGGAAAAAAATTCAAATGTTCGAATTAAATTTGAACGGGTTTGGATAAAGATGCCAAACGATCTAAGCAACTCGAAGCCCAAATTATACAGAGAAAATTATTGAAAACTCCAATCTAATGAGGGTATAAGGCATTAGGTCACATGAGTATTTTTCTCAGTCAGAAGTATAATAAAATATTCTGATAAGAAGTACATTTTATTATTTTGGAATAAAAAAAGAATTATCTATTCAATTTTTTCGAATCTATCTACTTAAATTTGTATTTATTTGTTCAATATTTTTTGAGAGCTTTTTCAATAAATCTCATTCTTAAGGGTAATGTTCCATCCAACCCATATTTTTTTTTTTTTTTTAGTATTCCATTAGGTCCCATTTGATATAATATGACTAAATCACCCTTTGTGCGCTTGTTTCTATTTTAAAATTAGGGTAAATTATAATTTAATTCCTTGTGGTTTGCCTCAAAAACACGGAACCCCCCTATAGTTTCATTTGTAACACTTAAACCCCCTTCTCTCTCTCTCTCTTTATCTTCTCTCTCACCGTGGTTGATTGGATTGAACTAGGGTTTCATCATCAATTTCACCATCGTATTGCGAACTTCATTACTAGTTTAGGTATGTATTGTTTACCCTAATTTATTTTGATCGTTAGATGTTGATTTTTCCTAATTTTGATTCATAGCTGAGTGTGTGTTGACTTCGATTCACAAAATTTGTAATGTTTAAGGCATGGTATGCTTGTATTGCTTTAATTTTTGGGGATTGTGGTTAAAGTGGGGCGGGGTGGGGTATAGAGCTTCATAAGTAATAGGAAATTTTTTTCATGATGTTAACTTTGAGTATTTTTTATTCACAGATTTGTTTTTGTATACTTTAGTATTCATGCCTTTTATTACTTTATTTTTTTGGGATGTTGGTTAAGGTGGGGTGGGGTGGGGTATAGAGGTTCATAAACAACAGGTACTTTTTTATGATGTTAACTTTGGATTTTTTTATGATTGTTGTTATAATGAGTTTGAGTTTTGTAATGTAATATTGTGAAGTTTTGTTGTTTTCTGTAGTGAGGTAAAAAAAATGATTTTTGAGATCAACTATAATGGGTACTTCAGTAAGCCTTCTAATATTGCTTATAAACAAGGGAAAGTGGAATATATATATATATATATATGATGTTGATCCTGGCAAACTATCTTTTATTGAGATTCATACCATCTTGAGGGAGATGAAAATAGATGTCTATAGTACTTCTGTTTTGTGGTATAGGAAACCTAGAAAAACTTTAGATGATGGGTTGACAATAATTGAAGAAGATGTTGATGTATATACCATGATATGTGACTATGAAGGTTTAGATGTGATTCAACTATATGCAGAGAAGGGTCAGGACCCATTACAAGTGGTAAGTCCAAAAGGGAAATATTTGGTACCCCCAAGAGTTCCAGTAATGCTAAGCAGGCACTGACTGGGAATGACATGGAAAATATGGATTGTAGAGATGGAATGCAAGATGTAGGTGATGAGGAAATGCATAATGGAGATGGGGATGAAGGAGCAGCAGATGAAGATACCGAAGATGAGGAAATGGATAACAAAGCTTGGGATGAAGAAGATAGTGATGATCCTGATTACATGGATGATGGGAATGTTGATAGTGGTTCAGAAGATGAAGACTATGAAAGTGATGAACCTGGTTAGTTGAATGAGGGTTTACAGGGGCCAGAAGATGATGATATTTTCTCACCAAGGGAGACTGTAAAGAAAAGAAAGAGGCAACCTCCTTCATGTGATCAAGAGGCAGATAAAGGGTGATATTCTGATTCTGAGGATGAAGATTTACATAATGTACATAACTTATCTGATGAGGAATGTGAAGATAAATATCCTGAGTTCATTGAAGAAGTAGACATGAAGAAGCCACAACTCAAACTTGGAATGATGTTTGCCACCCCTCAAATTTTTAGAAAGGCAATGAAAGAGTGGAATATCCAACATGGTTATGACATCAACTACTAAGGAATGACAACTCTAGGATTACTGTAGTGTGCAAGCATGGATATGGATTAAGATTGCATGCTTCCAGAGGTTATACATTGGGTTTGCAACCCTTAGAACAGGATTTGTTGGAGGATGTAGGCCCATTATAGGATTGGATGGGTGTCATTTGAAAGGAATCTATGGTGGACAATTATTATGTGCACTTAGAAGGGATGACAACAATAACTATTTTCCAATTTCATGGCAACTGTTGAGGCAGAAAGTAAAGATTCTTGGGTGTGGTTTTTAAGACAACTCATGGATGATATTGGTAGTGTTGATGATATGGGATGGGTCTTTATTTCCGATAGACAGAAGGGGTTAGTACCTGCATTTGAGGAGGTAATGCCAAATATGGAACATAGGTTCTGTATGAGGCATATTTACTCCAATTTCAGAGCAAAGATCAAAGGGATTGAATTGAGGGACTTATTGTGGAAGGCAGCTCTGTAACTGGGACTGTGAGGGAATTTGAATTTCACATGAACAAGTTGAAGGAGATGAATCTAGAAAAGAAAGCATACAAGTGGCTAAGGAAGATAGATCCTATTTTATGGACTAGGTCCCATTTTAGCCCAAGTAGTAGGTGTGATACATTGGTCAACAACATGTGTGAGTCATTCAATAACAACATCTTGGAAGCTAGGGACAAACCCATAATTAGCATGCTTGAATGGATTAGAAAGAAGGTAATGCACAGGATCCAAATCAAAAAGGAAGGGATGGAAAAATACACTGGTGAAATTTGTTCCAACATTGTCAAAGATTTAGAAGCACTGAAAGTGCAAGCTATGAATTGTTTTGTAACCTATTGTGGTGACAGAAAATTTGAAGTAGATTGTGGTGATACCACACATTGTTGATTTGGAGGAAAGGAAGTGTAGTTGTAAGATGTGGGATTTGGCTGGATACCATGTAAACATGCAATAAGTTTCATATTTTTTCAAAGAGAGAAGCCAGAGGACTATGTGCACCCTTATTACTGGAAGCAACATTATCTTGTAGCCTATAACTCAATGATACACCCTGTTCTAGGCCAGCATGATTGGGTTAAAACAAGACTGCCAGCAGTGGCTCCTCCATTGTACAGAAAGCAGCCTGGAAAACCACCAAAAATGAGAAAGAAGGGTATAAATAAGCCAATAAACCCTGTCAGAGTTTCAAGGCAGAATAGGTTCATTGTTTGTGCTAGATGCCTTCAGAAAGGTCACAACCATAGGTCATGTAAGGATCTTGTCCATCCCAAGTCCAAGCTTTTTAAGCCAACAAGAAGTAACCAGCAACAACCATCTTCAGCAGCAACAACAACAGCAACTGCTTTGTCAACACCAGCAATATCAACAGCTACAGCAACAGTAACAGCATATCAAGTAACTTGAACTTCCAATTTCATTTCATTTTGCAATACATTCCACAACAATGACATAATACAAATATAAATCATTGCAACCTAGAAGGAAGCTCCCTAGTAGGAGGGCCAACACATCCTCATCTCAAGTAAGATCTGTCCACTTTGCATACTTGTTACATCATTGCAGCCCCGTTCTATTGCTAATTTGCATACTTGTTACATCATTGCAACCCACTAGAATTGGCCACACATTTGAAGAATTTCCAAGTATGACAGGCAACACATCAGCATCTCAGGTAAGCTCTCTCTCCTATGGGTGTCATTTGGTTTTTGACATAGTTGACAACATATCATTGCTTATTTGGACCATTATCATTGCAGCCCAGTAGAGTTCAATACATTTCTCCAGAATTGATTACTCCTCATCTCAGGTATAGTCAAATTTCATTTGCAAGTTCATTTTCTTTTATAGTATTTCACAAAATGTAATTGGATACTTGTGTGTGTTGCTTTGCTGCCCACTAGTTATGGCAGAGGAAGGGGTGAACCAGTTGGAGGTGGCAGGGTTATGTCCAGATCTGCATTGAGAGGTAGCTTCATCACAAGAGGTAGAGAAGGAGTGGTGGATCTGCAAAAGTTACAACTCAGAGGCAAACTGACAAAGGCAAAGGGAAAGCATGATGGTAGAGAAAGCTACAACTTACCTTTTGTTGTGTTTTGAGTAGTTTTCAACTTGTTAAACCATTAAGTGGCTTGTACCAATTTGTTTTTGAATTTGAAACTGGCTAGTATCTTAGTTTACTATGTTTTGAGAAGCCCAACGGGTTGAATTATGGCTTGTATTAAAGTAATGTGAATTGAAGCAAATGAAGCATGTTTTACAGGATCCAAATCAAGCATGTTTATGTGTACCTTTATTAATACATGTATCTTAGTTTACTATGTTTTGGGGTTGAAACATGTTTTTGAATTATGTTTCAAATCAAGGAAATGAAGCATGTTTGTGGGTTGAAGCAAATGAAGCATGTTTCACAGGATCCAAATCAAGCAGGTTTACTTTCTTCACCAAACATTCTTTCATTACAAATAAAGCATGTTTCAAATAGGAGAACAATGGGAACCAATATGTTTCTATTCTTTAATGTTCTTGGAAGATGTAATGAACAAAACATTCTTTCATTACAATTTCTTTGGTTCATCAGATGCATACATTTCTTGACCAAAACATTCTTTCATTTTACACCTTCATTTTTCATTACAATTGCTTTACAGACCATTGTACACCTTCATTTTCTACCTTGACTATATTTTTTATCTCTCAAACTCTATGGCCCAATAACAACCCATTTTTCTTTACTCCAGCAAACTTCACCCAAAACATTGTCATGATAAAGAAAAAAACCCATGTCCCAAACAAAGCTTTGCAAAACATTTTCTCCCTTCTACGACTTCTTACTAGTTCCTTCTCCAATCTGTTCATCTTTGCAACCATCTTTGGCAACACCTCCCTCCCATGTTGGCGCATGGGTGGATCAACTCATTCAAAGTAGCCACAAGTTACATCAACCTATAATAAAAAAAAATATAAGTCCACAAATTCCTTTTCAAAAATAATTCAATCTTTTTTTCCAAAAAAAAAAATTAAAAAAATTAAGTTTTGCTTACCCCATATCTTGCACAACCATGAAACATTCTACTCATATTTCCAGATGTCATTGAAGTCTTCACTGGAGATCTCTCTCTGCAATAACATAGTCTTGGAGCATTTGTCCTTGACTGTCCACTTTCAGAAGCAAATGAAGAGGCCATCCAACAATAATCTTCAACTTTGGGAAAATTTAGGCAGCTTTCGGACAATCTGGGAACATTTCAGTTTGGGGTTCTATTTTATTTGGGTCTTGATTTGTGTATATATGGCAATAAGGGTGTTTTGGTCATTTGTCATATGTTTTTGGGCAGAAAAACATGCTCCACTCACCAGTTCTGGTCGTGCAACACACGCACTATTTAAACAAACAGTTCCATTAGATTTTGCACTTTGGTATGAAGTATAGGAGGTTTAAGTATTACAAATGAAACTATAGGAGGGTTCCGTGTTTTTTAGGCAAACCACGGGGGGTTAAATTATAATTTACCCTTAAAATTAATACGCAATAAAAAAAATAACAACAATTCTTTATTACATGAGAAATATCTCCCTTATTTCATGAAGAAAATCTCTCATCATTCTAAGAAAAATCTCCTCAATCTAGAGAAAATCTCTCCCTTATTCCATGGAGAAAAACTCTCTCATTCTAAGGAAAAAAATATCTCTCTTATTCCACAGAAAAAATCTCTCACATTCTCAAAATCCTAAATCATCTACCTTATGAAAATCTCTCAATAAATGTTGATATGAAATTTCACATTACAAATGCATGTTGATAAATAATATATCCTCATGAAACCACTCAATATTACATGAGTGTGTGAACATTAATGCTAGGTGCAACTACCTATTTGTATTACAAAATTAATGTGAATATTCACATCTCTATGTACACATTATGTTTGTACTAATATGCCTACTAATATACAATTAACCTTCAAAAAAACAAAATACATACCAAAATACAATATGAATGTTCACAATAAATAACAAGTATACAACTAACTTTCAAAAAAATAAAACTCAAATCAAAATACAATATGAATATTCACAGTTTACAATTAATATATATCCTTAAAAAAAACTACACTCATGCCAATGTGAACATTCACATTGTAACGTAAAAATATAAAACAAAATTGAAAAAAGTGAAAATTGATTATTTCAATTGTTCAATGGTAACAAAAATAATTATTCAACCAACAAGTATAGTAACAAAAACAACAAATATATAACTAATCTTCAAAAAAATAAAATTTATAACAAAATATAATATGAATGTTCACAGTTTACAATTAACATACAATTGGCCTTAAAAAAAAAAAAAAAAAAACTAAACTCATACAACTATGAATATTCACACTGCAGCATGAAAATACAAAACAAAATAAAATATAAAAATCAACTATTTCGATTGTTCAATGGTAATAAAAATGGTTGTTCAACCAAAAAGTATAGTAACGATCAATATACAATAAATCATCAAATAAATATCCAAAAAAAAAAAAAAATCATCAAATGATTTATATATATTGACGCACATTTTTAGAAAAATCTGTATGTAATAAACTCCGGCATAATATCGGCAAATAAATTACACAACATCAGTGACTATACAAGCTGGCAAAGAGACTACAGTTTATGTATAACAATGACAAAAAAAGATTGTTCTTCGTCGGTTTACCATCATCTCTATCATTAGTCTATATGTATAACTAACATTCTCTTCCAAATGTTCTTCCACGGCAGAACCTTATTGTAAAATAATGGTAAAAAAAGATCTTTGATCAAGTGCATTGTGGTAAAGAAATTATTAAGAATAATAATCTTCTATATTTATATACAGTATTTTATGTAGATCATAAATGAAATATATCTGATAATAATTTTCTCTCTCCTAGATATATGGTATTATATATATATATATATATTAATAAAATTTTATAAGGATAAAATAGTCCACATAATACTTTTAATATAGGAAAATTGACCTATTGGATATAAGTTCAAATGTATGAGATCAAATAGAATACACGAATACTTTGTAAACTTATTCGGCTATAAGTCCTCTGAATTAGATTTATAAATAACTCTCATTTTTTTTTTCCTATTTGTTCAACTTTTTTCTTTTATCTGTTAAAATTATCTACCTATTGAAATTGCTAACTTTTTATTATCTGTTAAAATTTACAGAGTATATTTTCTTTATCTGTTGAATTTTAACTCCTCTCCAGATGTACTTTCTCTCTCA